CATATTTACATGCCACAAATATACATAAATATTCGTCATTTAATTGTTCCCCATGGATTATGTTCACTTGCCTATGCTTGTCACACAATAGGAAGGAGTGTACTTTCCCCGTATGTCCACTCTTTTGTTGGACGACCGTATGAGACTCCTTCATTTTGTGAATGTCTCATCTGGGCAATTTTTCAACCACACTCTCATTCAAGTGTCTTAAATAAAACGGCCCATTTGGGTTTTTGCTACCTCCAAATCTTTGCTATCATTACCTACCCTTTCACCCTCTCGAACTAACACGGCTGTTACAAATGTTTACAAAATACTGACACGATTAATGGCAGATGTACGTTCACACCCAACTGCATGTTAATGTTAGCCTAAGGTGCCCATCATAATTAAACTCCAAAACAATTCCATGGCAAAAAAATCACGCGGCCACATCAGATTGTTTTGGATGCCCACAGATTTTGGTGAGGACTACTGGTTCACTGCCTTAGCAATGTTTTTCTGTGACCTTAGTGCCACCATCCAGATTTTAGTATAACTTGAACACATCTACAAAAACTCCAATCAACAAGGTGAGCATAACGAACAAGATTTGAAGCTATTACACTAGATATCAATGAGGAATTACGTAAACGTCTCAGTCGGATCGTCCCACTAAAGGAAACGACTACCTTCCCCAAAGGTTAATCAATACCACGTGGGCGAGGCAATATATAGCAGCACCGCTACCGACCAAATGCAAAAGATGAGACGTTATGACATCGAGAATGAATTAAGAAGGCGCCTTCTCCTACTCTTCCCACCCTCCCAATCCCGCGTCGACCCGGAGGAGAGAATAAAAATAGTTGTCTTTGGTCTTCTCCTAGATACTATTAGCTTGGAGAGTGAAGAGGAAATGGACACTTGTCTCAGTATTCTAAGCAATGACACTCACCTTCTAGCTGCTGTCAAAGCCGTTCTCATTTCAGCATCATTTACCGGAGGCATGGGAGGCCACTTAACAGAGGCTATGTCTCTTAAAGTATTGCACCACTCCAACGCAGTCCGGCTGCTTGCAAAATTGGGTGTGCCAAAGGCGGAGTTCTATGGAGTGCATTGTGCAACATTCAATAATATTGGCCACCGTCGTAAAAGTATGTCAGTAGACCTCTATATAAGGCAATTCCTGCCCAAGTTCATACGAAGTATTATGAACACTTCGGAGCGCTTTATGCTATATGCTCTTCTCTATCCCATTGCACTCACCTTATTTCAGCCAAGAAATGGTGCTCAATGTCACTTCAGAGATCGTATTGTGGCTAGCGTTGTGAAAGGCAATGTAGAGCTGGTTAGACCTCTAAGAAAGACACCACCAAATGAGGTCGAACGCCAATGAGTAAAACATTCAGACACTTCATGTAATTTGCTTCGAGGCCAAAAAATAAATAAATAAAATAGACGTGTCATAATTGCTGGTATCCCTTTGATCGGCGTCAAAACGCACTCAAATATCTTAGTTGGCGTTGGGGAGAAGCACGCAAGAAAGAAGGATGGGACCAATACTGAGAAGCAACTATCCTACAGCCTGTACCACGATGGTGAAATGAATTCACCGCTGGGCAAAAGTCAAGATAAGGTAGGTGGAAGATGGTCTCAACTGCGACGTCCAAATGCGGAAAGAATTAAAGTTCTCACATCCACCGCCTATCCTGAGAAGCAGGGAAGGAGGGAGAGGTTAGGGCATCATACTCATCCAGAGGTGGGAAGGGGAAGAAAGAGAAGAGAAAAAAAAGAAGCACCTAATACGATGTTTGAATAATAAAAACTTCAATTTGGATGTATTATTAAAAATAAAACAAAAGCGTCACACAAGCGCCGTTGATACTCCACACATATACAAGGGGCAGCTGGAAGGTTCGGAAGAATCAATATATCTTTTCTTCTTTGCTTGCAGAATAATAAGAGGGTGAGGAGTGAGCGAGATAGGAGGAGAGAATTTGTCTGTAACATAAGGAAGACCTTTCATTCAGAGGAAGGTATGTGAAAGGAGGGAGAATGTGGTGCAAAGCGATGTAAGGCAGAGAGGAAAGACTCACACAAGGCGGTGATGGTGAAATAAGGTGCTGATTAAGGATCCACACTGTCCAACTTCATGGTAAATTAGCATCTTCAGTAGGTGAAATGAAGCACTGAATGATAGATTACATTTCTGAGGTGGATACAAACTAGAAGCAGGATTTATGTGGTGCGTCCTCGCTGAAAGACCTTGACGAGGTCGCATACCCGGGACTGCCGATTTGTGTCGTGGTCGATGAGTGCGCTCGAGAATTTGACCTACAAAAAAGCAGAGAACTTCAGCCAACCAATCCTAACTTACAATATCAGGTTGTTGGCAAAAGTCCCCAGTATCGGCAATGTATATTTGATATTCAAGTAGTCAATGGTCCTTTTGCTCCCCCAAAACTCCTCAATCTGATTCCAGAACTCACTAGTTGCGCTGTTCTAGACTTCAATGTGAAGGCAATAGAATCCTAGACTAACTTAACCTTACCAATAGCTACCGAAATAAAAATAAAAGGAGAGAAGTGGGTAAACTAGTGTGAAGAACACGGCAACAGCATTGATCACACACACACAAGGAGGGTTCGAGAAAGCAAGAAAGCAAGCAAGCAAGCAAACAGAAGGTAAGAAGGCGTGCGCGACAACATTGACACACAAATACGTACGAAAGCATTACCCTGCTTTTATCACTTGGAGCTGTAGCATTCATTTGAGATGAGGTTCGTAAACGCACAGCCAGAAAGGGTTCAGATTCTGTCAAAGGTGCAATTTCCGGTTTTTGTGGCACAGATAGGGTAGGAGGATCCTCTCCCAACGATGGGGACAATCGAGTCTCTCTCCTACCACCACCTTCCACTCCTATTAATCTCGAGGGCAGTGGAGTCACCTTTTGT